TATATATATATATATATATAAATCGACATGAAATATGCTTTTTGAAACTGTCAAAGAAATTAGCATTTATAATACCGAACAAAAAAGCTATATAAAAATTTAAAGAAATTGAACTTCACAAACGTTGAACTACGCACAAAGGCAACCTTGTGACGGTGCATATTGTCGTTTTGTACATATTGTCGTCGGCGACAATATGTACCTACCCTCACTGCGCATATTGTCGTCCATTGGTACATATTGTCGCCGGCGACAATATGTACCGAGATGAGCCTTATTTTCTTCCTGCATAATGGACGACAAAATGTACAGTCCAGCACCAGCACATATTGTCGTCGGCGACAATATGTACAGTCAAGGTCGGTATATATTGTCGTCGATATATTGTTTTGACGAAATACATTTATTTACTTGAGAAAAGAAAGAGAAATTGACAAACACACACACGCACGGAGGGAGACAGACAGCACTACTCGCAATACTGTAGGGAGAAAACATTTTGGTCGGAAAATTGTGTCCAGGATTGATGTACATCACTATGACATATCAAGATACCGTAATTCTTGAGATATCTGATAAATCAACTAGTCTTTTTTTCTTGTAATATATACTTGGAGATTGAATACAGGCATTTTTTTTTTCAGTAGTAATATTATTTGGAAATAATTCGTATATACGATTATGTGCCGATATAATATTATAAATATAATTTATTGTTAATAATAATGTAAGAATAACGAAAAAAAAAAAAAAAAAAAACAAACAAAAAAAAAAAAAAAAAAAAAACAAAAACAAAAACAAAAACAAAAACAAAAAAACAAACATTTTTAGATCACCTGAACTGGAAGTTCAAGTGAGATTTACTGATCAAATTTTGTCTGACCGTCCGTCTGTCTGTTAACTATTCATAATTTTAACTTCTTTTCAAGAACTACTGGGTCAATTTCAACACATTTTTACAACAAACAAACAAAAACAAAATCAATTTTGTTCAAGTCATGACCCCAGGGGTAATGTGAGCCACAATGGGTGATCAAAGTTTTACATAGGAATATATACAGAAAATCTTTAAAAATCTTCTCAAACACCAAAGGCAGATGTAGCACCCCCCCCCCCCCTCGCTTGGTGGTTTGAATTTGTTTTGCTTTGGTAAATTCTGTTTGTTTAACTTGTATATACTTAGTCCACAGGTAAAATTTCATAATTAAATAATTAAGTTAACATTTACAATAACACTGATGGACGACAATATGCGCAGTGAGGGAAGGTACACATTGTCGCCGGCAACAATATGAACCGGACGACAAAATGTACGTCACAATCACGCTGCATGAAATAGCAAACGAGACACGTCAGTGTGATTCTCACACCAATTACATTCACAAAACTACCAAAAAACAGCAAAAGGCATCTTTAAACAACAATATCTTTGGGGCGACAATATGTACAGTGAGGGTGAGGCACATAATGTCGCCAACGACAATATGTACATATGTAACTTTTCAGTCGGTGACAATATGTACAGATGGACGACAATATGTGCAGTGAGGGTAGGTACATATTGTCGCCGACGACAATATGTACAAAACGACAATATGTACCGTCACAAACCTCCATTAGCAGAGATTAAAATACCCTCTTACCTTGAATAGTAATGGTTTCCTCGTCATTTTTTTGCTATACAAGTAAGTTGTGTTTTGTCTAATAGAGGCATAATTTATTCACAAAAAAGAAATTTCATATTTTTATATCGATAAATGTCGATAAATGTTAGAAAATACTGAATTGTTAACGCACATTTATTTCATTTGTCAGCACAGCCTACCGTATAATTACATGTAAGAATCAAGGAACATGAAATATTTACAATTTTGTGATTAAATGTCATCCAAACTGAACCCACAATTTATGTAAGCAAGGCCTTGCTATCTATTTTTGGCAGTAGTATCGTAAGATTAAATCATTTGTCGTTCTTATAAGACTTACAGTACTAGTGTATATAAGTGGAATCTAAAAAATAACTATATAAACAGATTGACCAAAAAAAAAAAAAAAAAAAAAAAAATGAAAACAGCATACATATGTGCTTTGGTAACAAAATTACTAGATCAGTTTCAACAAAATTGGGAATCAAACTGCAATAATTCTTCAAAAGGTGTGATATATACATGTAATTTATTTACAAATTTAAAAATTGGATGCGAATTCTATGTAGATAGCGTCTTAAGTAATCATAAGAAACAGATTTTAGCTAGATTCAGAACATCAAATCACAAACTACCGATTGAAATGGGAAGATGGGAAGGTATTGAAAGAGATAATAGAGTATCATGTATGTTGTTATAATTGTAATATGTTGCTTTGATCACTATGTTGTTAAATAACAACCAAAGAGATACTAATAAACTGGTAAACTGGTAGCATCGCTCACCCTTTCACACATCAAAAACATGTTTACTTGTTATTTACCTACCTCCTAATTCAATTCTTTCAAATACATGTATCCAATAGCAATTCATATATCTCCTATGAAATCAAATAGAATTATTTACCACGTATGAAAGAAAATACTTGAACAATAAAAAAAAAAAAAAATCCCTTGTGTATAATTAAAAGTTGCATTTAGAATTTCTAAATGAACAATTGGGAAATCTTGATTTCGGATTCTATTCTGAATAACAATTGTAATGGAACTAATTTCAAAAGGGATTCCAAATGTTTCCAGATGCAGATTCTATAAATTCCAAATGACTCCTGAGTTTCTTCCTAAGTAATTGACAAAACCCAAACACAATTCCATTCACTTATATTTAAACATGGTGTACTAATAATAAGTAACCAGAAATTTTAAAATTTTATTCTCTTATCAATTAATGATATATTTATGTCATGTATTTAAGGAAAAAAAAGTATACAAAATAAACATTTGTGATTTAAATAGTTTTCATTAAATTGTTTTTATCATGTTTAAAAATTGAAATCAAGGTCAAAATTAAAGAAAATTGGTAACATAGATCATTTCATTGATTCAGATACTTTAATTATTTGGAAATGATTTACAAACATCAGAATGTTGCATTACCATCAGGTGCAAGTAATGATGAAGAATTAGAAATGACACTTTCACAAATTTTCAAAGTGTTGAATATGATAAGGCAATACGTCTTATATTCATACGAAATATGCCTTATGAATTGTTTGACTAAGTTTCATTTTTCTGCACTTCCTAATTGCTACACATGGATCCCAGATTGAATTAAGATCAATTCTTCTTGTATTTATTGTATTAAAAAAATAATGGACTTTACACAGAAACGAAAAATAAGATTACTAAATGGGGGTATTAGTAATATAACATTTGAGCTTCTTAGTTTATCAAAAAGGTTTGTTCAATGTCATTATCTTTTTTCTTGACATTGGGGGAAAAAAAACAACTGTTCCTAATGATGGGATGTCGTATTTATTTGTAAAATATTAATATTTAAAAAAAAAAAAAAAAACACATAACACCTATCAGATAATACACGGAAATGGAATCAAATACTTTGATTAAAATAGATATCATCCGAAATTTTGGAATACTTTTGCTGTTTTACATCAATACGTCATTTTTATACCAGTGTTTTCTAAACTTGTAACATACCAAATGGAAACTGAGAAATACTTTGGAAGGTGTTTTGAAGCAGTAATAACAATATCAATAATTAGAATTATCTGCTTTGATAGTTTTATTACTTGTGTATAAAGTTTATAAAATGTCACACTAAATGAAATATGAAGATAACGAACAGTATTCAATCTAGAAAGTGCAATAAAACGATACAAATTTGGAGCAGAGCAAACAAGGACCTCAAGATTTAGAGGTGGGATTAGGTTCATTGTATCGACCGTAAAACTTGCTAAATGGTGACTTCAGACAAGACTGTTGATATCCCTGTTTCATCAACTTGTTTGGTAATAGTTTGCATCGTTTTAAAAATTGTTCATACGTAGAACATGCTCTTGCGTATCGAATTAACTGAGAGACATAAACTCCATATGCAGGTGATAAGGTTATATTGCTACAGAAGTAAGGGAAGTTGACGATTGAAAAGTTGAAGTCATCACATTTATTATTAAGCTTTCTTGTTAGATTACCATTAACGTCTTTTTCTAGTAAAATATCTAAATATGAAACGGATGTGTCAGAATCTGTGGTATCTTTTATTTCAAGCTCACTGGGATATATCGAGTCGACATATGAATGAAAGTAACTATTGTTAATTGATAATACGTCGTCGATATAACGAAATGTCGAGTTGAAGGCCACAGCAAGTGTTTTCTTCTCATGTAGAAGTTTGTAAATAAATTCTACTTTATATGAAAACAAAATAGGTCTGCTAATAAGGGTGCGCAATTGGTACCCATGAGAATTCGAACAGATTGTTGGAAGACCTGATCTCAAAAAGGAAAAGTAGGATTTTGTGAAACTGTTTTCAGAGGAACAGACATACAGATAACGTGGAAGATACCTAGTTTATAATCACATCTTAGAACAATCGCACAAAAAATAAAGTGGTTTTCATTTCGCTTTTGCTTACTAATCAAATAATCCATGAAAATGTCCTCCTTTTATTTAATCAATGCCTACTCTGCATTTAAGGTTAATATCACATATAACTCAGTTCACCTATAATGTAAGTTTGTCAAAAGAAAACATCTTTTTTCCAGAGTGCCAAAAATTCAATCTCTATAGCCAATAATCTTCATAATCTGCAGTATTAAAATAATAAATTTCTTATTCTGAATGTAACATCTAATATGACAATATGGTTTGTCTCATCTTTGCACATTACATTAATAGATAAGTAGTACTCTATGTCATCTGAATATACCTCTCATTAAAAAAAAAAAAAAAAGAGTAACATGTGTACACATACATTAGCATACATTGATTCATAATCTCCTGTGTACTTGTAAGATCATTGAGTGTGTTTATTGTATGTAATGTCGTATTTACCCTAATGATTTCCTGTAAGGTGTTCATGCCTCTGTATATGTCTGTATATACAGATCATAATGTTCTGTGACGATCCGACCCAGAGAAGATGAGATCTGTGATCATAGCTCAAGCTGAATGGATATTCCACTCCCTGTTCTTCTGTCAGCAGTACTGTCAGGAACTGACCGTCCTTGTCTATCATCTGTACGGTCTTGGTGTAAGCATCACAAACTAGAATGTGTGACAGAGCATCTGTACAAATTCCAATTGGATCAAATTTTGATCCTTTCGGACTTCCGGTATAGGAGAAGCGATGTGTTCCTAAAAAATCGGTCACCACTATAACACCTAAGTCACTAAGGACAGAGTTAGTAATAATCACATCTCCATTTTGGTTTTCTGTGATATATCGGGGATAATTATACAGTCCCTGACCTGGGTTGTGTTGTAGTTCTTGTCCTTCAATATTGTATCGCCCTACCTTGGCTGTTAAAGCATCCTGTCTCTTCATTCCAATAAGTAAATCTCCATTTAAGGGAGAGCAGTAGAGACATAATGGTTTCCAAGGTTTTGCTTTTCTCATCAATGTAGACTTTGCTTCATTGTTCAATGAGAGTTTCTTGATATTATAATCCCTATCTATGTATACTAGATTGCCTTCTCTTGTCACGGTGTGTACACCCTCGTTATGACATAAATCCTCAAGATAATGTAAATTGTCACCCATTGTATCTGTCAAGTTTAAATTATTCCAACCGCTGACCCAGGCAACGTTTGGTGTCACACAAGAGATATGACGACTGACATTTTGTCGAACCCCTGTAGGCTTCACCCTAAAAGTTTTCTTTAACACTGGTGGAGACATCACTTTAAATAAATGTTCAGTTCTTACTTGTCTTTTTCCAGGCTCTGTTATAGAGATTCCTACCAGACAATTGAAAACATTATCTTTGTTGATTTCCTTGATCAGAGAGTGAGCTTGAACTATTGATGCACTGGGAGTTTTATTATTTATTTTGTAAAAACTGTTATTCTTGGAAAATAAAAGAAATTGTATCGCTCTGGTTGCTAACTGTTCAGATCTGTGTACACGTTTTTGAATGGAACTAATGTGTCTCCTTTGTTGTTTCTGTTTGGAGTTTAAGTAACGTTTCAGTTTCTTGATGTCTTCTAAAACGACATCTATCTGATCCTTAAGCCTTTCAGCTTTAATAACCATATTTTCCTGGAGTTTGAGGATTTCTGTTTGACAGGGTTTGAAATCAGAATTGATGCCTGACTGGATACTATGAGCATACAGCATAATCTCACTTTTTACATGAAAAATTATTTCCTGATGTTGTTCATGCTGTTTTTTATACACCAACTTTATGTCTTGTACATAATGTCCTGAGTGTTCTGCACAGTAAGAACATAAAGGAAGCTGACACACAAGACACCACATTGAAGAGATCATGTTCTGGTGCCTCTTACATGTCTCTAATATAATAATATCTCCATACTTTAAGCGGTCAATCACTACATCGTGGAGTTTGGTGTCAAAGTCTATCACATGTTCTTCCTTACAGAGAACACACAAATCTTGTTTACATGTCCTGCAGTAGTATTCTGCATTGCTTTTACACTGAAAACACTCTGGTGGTTTTAACTGTGTTGGAGATTGTTTATTCATAATGCTCTGGTAATACTAAGTATATCAGCCTCTTTGGGGTGTTAAATTTTATTCCTTGGCTTTTTCATATTGTGGAGCAACCTACAAAGAAACAAGAGGCCATGGATCATGGGATTCTTCCATCAAAAATATATATATTTTTAATTTAATAGTTATAGTTATGAAACTCCAAACTGTAGCCAAAAATTCTAAAATACAGCAATTACATGTATATTAAACTTTGAACATATATGTATATTAAATATCTATTTTTTAATTAACTAAGCACACACCATGGTTATGGTGCAAAATATTTTATCGTCGAGCCCCAAGATTTCGATGTAGGCCTGCAAATCGAAATGTTCAACTCAAGCTGCTATCCCACATTGATTAACAATATAATCATAAAGATATTGTTCATGTACAGTACCGACCAGACACAACCTAACAGAAAGCGAACCCAAAGCTTACCGCGGGTTCTCTTCCTGGGTTCGCTTCGGGTTCGCTCTGGGTCCGCTAGAGCTGACCCAAAGCGAACCCGTAGCACACCCGTAGAGGACCCAGGGCGAACGCCGAATGTGAACACGCGTTCGGTGTTGCGTAACAGAGCTGTCAATCAGGATTAGCGAAAAGACGTTTTAACTAATCAGCGCGTCGACAAGTCAGCATACCAGTTTGTCATTCGATGTAAATCAAAACATTGTACAAGCAAAGGGTGTATGGTGTGAAACTATTATTAACATGATTAAAAAAAATTATATTTATATTTTAATCACCAAGGTAGCATCTTATATCTACATATTATTTTCTTTATTTATTCTTAAAATCCATTAATATACATTGCATAAATTTATCAGACAATTCGCATTTTAATATATGAAGGGGAAAAAAGACAATAAGGGATATGACAATTGTTACTAAAAAAAAAAGAAGAAACTGGTCTTTGACAAAATATAGCTTTCATCATCTCAAGATACTGAACAAGAACATGTACATGTACGTGCTTTCATTCAATTATTTTATTTTTATTATTCTAATTTACATTTTCGCTTAAATCCAGATCAACATCAAAATTATTGATCTTCTTAATTGAAAATAAAAAAAAAAATTAAATGTACAGCATAAATGTACCATTATGTCCGATCTTAAATTAGAAAAATAAGAATCTCATTTCTTTTTAACTACTATGGTATTATTTTGATTAATCTTTTGCCAAAAAAAAAAAAAAAAATGTAAAACTTGATTTAAATACATATATATAGGGAAAGATTATCTTGTCAATTCTAGTTGTCATACATGAAGACCCAATGTTTAAAATTTTGTACCTATTTGAAAGTTAGTCCAAAAACAACAAAAATGCTTATCATTTTAATTCACGTCGATGTATAAGTACAGGTGTAAATGTACATGAACCTCTTACATATACTACACGTAGTTTTCGAAATATTTTATACATAAAAAAAAACTACACGTGTACATTGTATATCGTTTTGTACTAGGACATGAAAAGTTCACGTACATTGTACCTTGTATATCAACATTATTAAATTGAACTCACAAATTTATGTTGATGCGAAAATGTACATGCATTGTTTTCTGTCACATAGATACCTATATTTGAACTTTTTAAATCGTCATAACTATTTAATTCTAACACTTAAAAATGATAGTTTCAAAGTGAAGTCAGGGTCATCACGTGTCGGTAATCATCCATCTGTTTCGGATATATTGCGGGTGCAAAGAACAAGTACGGTATTTTTTTAACTGACACTTGCTAGCTGGATGTATACTGTCTTCATGATTACGGTATACCTGAGTATATACTCCCCCTACATTTGAACCTTCCATAAACCCTTTCAACCCCTAAAGTTTCCACGTCTGCGCACGTGATCAATGAGAAATCCGATTTATTATTTTTTTTTTTTAATTTGGAATAGTCATAGTTATTTGGAACTTGCGTAAGGAGTACATATTCATGTAATTGCTTGCACCTGAATGCTGAAGAAACGTGAACAACATCATGGCGCACAGAGACACCTTTTCTTCTTCTTCTGCTTTATTGCGATATACTTGTAAGTTAAGAAAAATAAAAGCGATAATTCTTCGTCGAATGTAGGGTGAAATTCTGGAAAATTTATCAAATTTCTCCATATAGTCACTTACATGTACATGTTTCGATCACCACAAAAACAACAATGATCGATTTCACTACTGTATTTGGAATATACAAGGGGCGGGGCTTACTGACGGCAAGATTAAAGCGGGGTCTGCTTCACGCATGAGTGCGTAAAGTGAACCCAGAAAGCGAACGCCGGGTTCGCTCTAGCGGACCCCGAGCTGACCCCGAGCGAACATTGTACGAATCCGAAGCGCACTCAAGGCGAACCCAGAGTGCACCCAAAATTTCTGAAAGCGATCCCGTAGCGGACCCCGAGCAAACCCAGAAAGCGAACCCGGGGTGCGCTTTGTGTTCGCTCTGGTGTTAGGTTGTGTCTGGATGGTACTGTAATATCTCCTCGGTTGTGAAAACGGTGAATATATTGGTGAAAACGGAAGAATATATTGTTCGCATTTTGCCTTTCAATTTTTTAATATATTTCTAAAATTCTTAATCCAGTCTGACAAAGTGTTCAGTTCTTCTTTTTCATATTTAGTCAAACATTTGGCATAACCTTCGATAGAATTCATAATAGGAATGAAGTTCTGTCGCCATGCAGTTGAAAGATCGGGGTTCCCTGCATTTAGGATCCAAGGTCCAAGGGACTAAGTTTGGGCTAGAATAGGGAGTCATTTTAGTAAAATAGGAAATCATTTTTCTTCTCGGACTTCAGCAGTTAAGAACAATTAATAATGTACATGTAAATCCTGCTATATTCAGTCTACACAAATCCCCGAGATAGAGTTACCGGAAATAAGAATTTGAGACTAAAAAGACTAAAAAGACGCCGCATTGCTCATGGGCACTGATACAGAAAGTGTCAATTTTTCGACGAGGATGATGTGCCAAAGCTTGATTAAGCTTTATAGCTTGAAATAGCTATATAGCTTTATTAAGCTATTCAAAATAGCTTGCTAAAGCTATTTATATGCAGGTTTTCACAAAAATGTTATTTGTACAAAAAAGACAAAAAGTCGCAAGTATTTGACTATTCATATGTAATATGGGTTATCAAATCAACAACCCAAATCAAAGATAGTTCTAACATTGCAGCATTTGAATACTTTTAAGCAAAAGATGAAATTCCATTGTTTGGGTAACTGTACACTACCTTGTGTGAGTTGAGGCATGGATAAGTATGATTGCTTCTCATTGTACTGAATTATTACCAATCAATTATCTTGTTGACCATAATTGGCCTCCTTTATAATTTCATTGAAGAGGTAACTGTATCAATTGCTTTATATAGCCCCCAAAACTTTTAGAACTTTGAGTACAAAGTCTCTTAAGGAGACACAATTTGATGAGTGATTTTTACATGCATTATTTTCATAAGAGTTCAAGGTTGAATATCATCACTGCACCAAGGTGCGACTTTTTGTACATACTTGGAAAATAACACATTTGAGAAAAAAGTGTGATAAAATAGCTAAATCAAGCTATTCTGAATAGCTTAATAAAGCTATATAGCTAAATCAAGCTATATAGCTTAATCAGGAGATTGTGCCGGACCTGATCAATAACCTGTAATTAATGAAACAGAGTATTGCGACCAACTTGGTCCAAGTATAAAATCCCTCTTAAAATGGGACCCTAGATCATAAGTTGCGTGGATTTTAATCATTATACTGTAATATATTTTAAAGATTTAACTTTTTTTTTTTTTAAAATAATATCATATCATGATCTATGATAATGATGATTAAAACCCAATCACCTCTGAAAGCTCACAGGTGTGTGCATTATTGACTTGTTGTGGGTGTTTTGCGTCTTTAATGTTCCAATTTATTTCACATTGTTTACCTTACGTCCACTTGCATGTCTGACATGGAGTAATCAGTTCGCATTGGTGTAAAATTTACTCTTAGAGCAGTAAAACATAGTCTACATAAGTACACCAATCTCGTAATATGTATATCGGATATCGGTAGAGGCACATAAAATTGAACTCGATCATCGGTAGATATAATCATTCCGAATTCAGGAGCAAAAGCTGAATTTGAAAAAAAAGAAAATCACGATAATTTCACAACAGAACTCAAACGGAATTCACCTAAATAGGTATTACATAATTATACAGTTGGTAGCGTCCGTATAACACTAAATATGTAAAATGTACGTTCCGGAATTTTCACCTCCGATTATTATTTACGTTAACGGGTGACGTCACTGGTAAGAAGTCTGACGTCTGCAAGACAGTGTCTGGAGTTAGGCTAGGAGTAACGGTGAGGAATATACATAACATCAACAGTTATTTATTTACTTTATATTTCAGACTGTGTTGCATGTAAACTAACGGGTGTGTTTCTTTTATTTTAGTGTATAACATAATGTAAACTTAGTATACCAAATAAGTAAGAAATTATTGACGCAGTCAACTGTCTTGGTCAACACCCCAGCCCAGGTGTGAATCAACACTGGCACATTATATCAAAATTAAGGTGAGGTATAAAACATACTGTTATAAAAAATATTTATTGTAAGATTTTTTTTAGCCTACCAATAAGATGCAATAAAACCCTTGATGGAAAAAGTTCCACCCACCCAATGTATTTCTTTACAAAACATGTAGAGGAAATATAAATTATCTTTTAGGGCAATAAGGGTGTAACACTTATTTTTCAGATGTCTTTTTCATACAGGCCTTATGAATATAAATAATGTATTTTGAGATTGTGATTTTTTTATGTGATTTTAAATGTACACTCCAGGATGGCGGCTGAAGCTCATCTCCTATGTAAACACCTAAATGCCAAGTCTGGACTTCAAAAACAGATTCTGAAAGTTTAACCAGCATTATGGTAAAACTCTTAAAAAAGAAATCAAATTTTCTGATTCCATTGCTTTTAGACTTGCAATTTAATACATATAATATCATGTAATGATGTGCATTACATTTCAATCACAAGAGGAGAAAATGTTAAATGTTATCAGTAAAATAAGTAATTTTTCCTATTGTTTGTTTTGCTTTACAAGTCTGAAATGCAATTTTTTTTAACATATATTTTCTTTTTTACCCCAAGGACAGAAAGTATACACTTCGAACAGACACAAAAACATATAGGTCCATGCCAAGCTATGAAAGATTTATGCTGAGGGTAAGTTCTATTATTATATAGAATTTAATTGTCAGACATATGGTTATGTCTAAAATTTTACTGTTGTATTTATAATTTCCCTCGGTGTCGCAAGCTTACAACCAAAGATTTGAAATTTATTAAAGCACAAAATTAATCTAAAATTGTCTCCTTTATTCAAACATATTTTAAAAAAAGAATTGAACTAAAGGATTCAGTCTACATAAAAAAATTAGCATGTTTTATTTCATAAATTTGACGATCAACATTTCGATTGACCAACACGCGAAGTTAAACTATGTCTTAGGAAAACATTTACAGGTAATATATACAGGTAACATTCTGTGTATATAGGTAGGTATACACAAGCCAGCTTGGTAGCCTCGGGGCTTCACAGCCGTTTCAATTAAGCTCCACCCCACTCCAAACTTACCTGAGGAAAACCGACCGGTTGAAAACCTCGGCCTTTAAACTGATAAGATTTGGTCACATTCATGTATTTTATAGATAGGCCACTAGTATGTAACAAATTACATTGACAGGAAGGAACAAATTTCTTAAAAGCACACATAATTTATGCCTAAACGATTAGATGGCAGACATCTGTTCGTAAACATAATCATTATCTACCTTCTCTACAGAAGAGTGCAACAGGGGAGATACATTGTAACTCTTACAAAAATCTAAATAAATTGTAAAATACGTTTTTTCCCAGGAAAAGCAGGGAAAATATTTAATTATAGCTTTTATAAAATTCAAAATGATTTTTATTGTTTATATCTGTAAATATATTACATGAAATTAATTTTAATTACTTTAAATGTTAAACTTATAAAACCACCAATTTTTCTATCATTTGAATTTGAGATAATTTCATTATGATGTAACTTTTATGTCCTTGGGAGTCCAAAGGTGGATTTTACATATTGCTGAGATAATATCTTAGAGGTTTCTAATTGCACAAAATTCTGAAAAAAGAAGCGTCACTTTCTTAGAAATATTTCTTTAAATATTGACAAAAAATGAATCATTATCATTTCTTGGCACCATGCCAATATTTGTGCTCATGGGACAGCGTTATATATAGGGATATTACAAAAAATTTGATTCCAACTTAATTTTACGACTCAATTCAGTGAGAAAATATTCCCCTTTTCTTCTTATGTTGTTTATTCTTTTTACTTTTAAATATTGAAATGTCATTTTTACACCAACTTTTTTGCGTTTTTCCCTGGAATATTGACCAGAATGAATTATTGGCTGTTACTAAAAATAGAAACAACCGATGCAAAAATAAACATCATATTTCTGACTCTCAATGCATGTCCTTTAAGTTAATAATAAAAATCAGTTTGTTCTTAAGACTCCCTACTGCAGCCTTTTTCTCCATTTGCATGGTTTTCTGATAGACATGCTCTTAATAAAACAAAGAAAATTATTACAATGGTTTTAATTGCAATCCCTTTAATATTGCATCGTAGACTGATTTGAACCACGGATTATATGCTAGCATGTAGAAAATCAGCATGATTTGCCATTTATTTAACAAATTCGACAATTATTTGTATTAAAAATCACGTGAGAGTTTATATTTAAATATTTAATTATAATTAATTAAAATATTATTCGGCTGCAGACAGTTTCCCTCAATCACAAATGATTTTGATTTACTATCAGCAAGTCCTTTGCTAGCCCCTTTATGATTTGTATCCCATCCATAAATAACTGCCAGAAAGTAATCCATTTCGAATGCACAAGCTTAATTCAAAAGTGCTGAGTTAACTCAATAGGCTCCAAAAACTTAAGTTTCTTAGTGCTGATTATGAAACAGCAATTGCACTTGAAGACGAAACAAGGTACAATGATACAAACATTTTTGCTTTGAGCGCAATCTAGCCTGCTAGCTTGTTTAACCTGTAGGAAAGAACGTCAGATTTAAGTAAAAAAAAAAAAACTCCACTCATTGAAAATTTACATTCAATTTGATAAACGTAATTGATCAAGATTTAGTGAAACTATACTGATATTGATATAGATATTATAAAATCAATATTTACTCTTCTCCAGCACGTCTATGAACAAAGCCAAGATATCCGAAATCAACTTTGTTTACGTTGGCCATCGGGGTTAATTAATGTAAAAAAAAAAAAAGCCCACAATTTTTAATCTATTGCAGTAATAAGATGTCTTTCCAAAGTATTTCACAATTTCTTCATGGTTATACCTTGAGTTGTCAGTAATTCAGTTTGGTATATCTCTCTTGGCTTATTTGGGATTTCCTTTGTTTCAATAGCCGCTCAAAATATCATTCAAATATAACTGTGTCATTTCCAGGAAGATAACTCTGCACTTTACAGTAAAACACATTTAATTTCTAAATGGGTTCAGACATGAAACATGTTTAAATACAAGTGTTTAGTAGTTAAACATAATTCTAAACATGTTTAGATCTAAACATGTTATTGAAGTGTTTATTTCGTACTCACAATTTTTACAGTGTTTCGTTAGTGCCAACTAACAAAATGAACCTATGCAGCGTAAAATGGTTTATAATCTGATTCTGCGCTCGGTGCTACTCGGTGCTTGTTGCGATCAGGTACACGGTGCTTCCAAGTACTCGGTGTCGCCGGAGCCAAAACGCACCTTAAATTAACGTTAGCTAAATTGTCAATGAAATGAAATGAATTATTTTATATTCATCATCGTAAGCCTGCATACTCAAAGATAATAAATTTATACTAATAAATTAAGAAAGGAACTTTGGTTCAGAATCCCCGTCCCAAGTAGTCAATAGCTAAAAACTTAAAAAAAACATACAAAAATCTCAAATATTTTCTTAAGAATTAGCATTTTAATCTGCAAATTCTAAGTAGGCCCAAGAATACGAAAACTAATTTTCTAACTTAACTATAATATAAAATTATTTTTTTTGTCTTGACTAGCACCGACTATCGCTGACTTTGACTTTCTCTCATTTTTTCTGGAGGGGATTTGACGACGCAACTTGGACTTTGCTGCTTTTAAATTGTGACGCAGTGATGCAGCATCTACGTCATATGCATAGAGCTGTAATGTAAAACTAAAAAAAAACAAAAAAAAAAAACAATACTTTTATCAATAAATTAGGATAAACAAATCTTCTAATTACACTCATAAAGATATATCTTGATAATGTTTTATATATTTAAAGTTTTTTTTTTCTTTCTTTCTAGAGATGTCCAGAACCATTCGTCTGCAAACAATCCAGATATAATCATTTCTACCATCTGCACTAACTGTTATGCATTTCACGTTATCATATAACGAAATCAGGTAATAAATAAATCTGTCAATGCTACTTTCTACCAGACATCTATTTAATCACAACAATTCTAAGGACTTTCTTTTAGAACAGAAAAAAGTTGAAATATATACAGCAGATAAACGTTATCCCCGTAATCAAAAATAAACACCGACGTTTGCAAACGTTAACGCACATCTTTAGTGTTCTATAACGAAAACTTAACTATGGAATATAAATTCTGGACAAGTAAGTTATGCAGACACAAGTGGTTAATACTTTTGACATTACACTCAACCAAGGTGATTTCGATCTACAATACCTATACTGGATTCCTAAACTTGATTAAAATCCTTACAAAGATACATTGTCTGGTCCAACAAATACTACCACAAGCTCCTATATTTACACACTAATAAATTTAAGCCACTATCGCAGATAAAACTTCATAAATACAGTGCCACTGCACATTCTAAAACTAGTGTTAATCAGATGTGAATTGTGAGGAAAAAAAAATATGTTAGAACATTTAAAATTGCCGATTTTTTTTAAGACAAGAACATCAAATTTCACTACTTTTCACCACTTTATACAACAATTTCCCATTATTATAACTGTATTTTTGAAGAACCGGCTTTTAATTATCTATCTAGAATTCAAACTTGTATTCACAGTTTACATTTTAAGAATGAAACTCTTCAAAATCACATTTAAGTCTTTCATTATGAATACTCTGAAAACTAAAATTAATGAAGATGAGTTCAATTTACCTTACATATACTGGATACTTGAACTTCATACAAATCCTAACAAACAAAGATACATTGCAGGGTTCAGCATATGCTCCATCAAGCTCCTATATCTTAACTCCTCATCAAAACATAAATACCCTCTCTGAAGGAAAAATTTTACTTTGAACAGTTGTATAAAAATAAATATAAATTAAAAACTAGGGGTTTTTTATGGTATCTTAGACAACCGCTTCCTCAGTAAAAATTGAATTTAAATGGAATTAAGTCTTCGAATCTTGTGATTTGTCATCAACAAAATTACTTTGTTTAAAATCACTGATTCTACACAGACGTACCATAAAGTTGATATTAAAAGGAAGCTGGGGTTCCTCATTGACAATATCGTTGTAGTCTGTTGGAATTTGTTGGAATCCCGGTTGGAAACCACTTATTCTCATTTATTAGTCGACCTCTTTTATATATATGTATTTCTATAAGGCAGAATTTATTCTAAAACCTCGATCTACATGAGAAGAGGAAAACAATTTAACTCGACATTCGGATATTTCGACGACGTTTTATAAATTAAAACTAGTGCCTTCCATTTATACGAAGGCCGTTATAGAATTACGCGGAAACTGCTTTTATTTCCGCTTATGGACATCAAATAGTAATAAAATTTCACAGAAACACTTTTTCTTAAAGATACGAAGGGTTTTTTTTTTTTTTTTTTTTTTTTTTTTTTAAATTATTTTGGAATTCAATTAATTTCTTAAAAAATTATTGCTGTTTTGATATGGCTGATGAAGATGCACGAAGCACGACAGAATCCAAAATTTTACTCATTTATTTTCTATATAATGTGCGATATTATTCCATAATTTTCTGAATGGTATCTTTTTAATTGTTCTATTTAGTTTTCTGAAGTAATATTTGAAGTACTAACAGAAGTATAGTGATTTTTCTCCGATGGGATTCCTATGAAAACAACTGCAAAAACTGCAACTGCAAAAATGACGTCTCGTGAATTGACGGAGCAGCACACATTCATCAAATT